TTTTATTAAAATATAGATATATTAACGATAATTTTCCTATTGTTTATTGTCATATTTACTTCTTGTGTCTTTTATTATTCTCAAACATAGTTTGTGTTTTTATTTGATTACTAAAAGAAATGTTTTGAGTGGCATCAAGTTTTAAGATCCTAATTTATTTATTTTATTTCTTTTGAAGTTGATTTATTATAAAATGACTACTTGTTAATGATCTAAGCCGTGAAGAATATATATATATATATATATATACTCCAACTAGATCACAAAATGTCTAACTTTCAAAAGTAAAATCTTTTATTCCTATGGTTATTTCTACAAACTATTTTTGTACTATAAGTTAAATATGAAAACTTGGGTCTGCTCTTACTTCTTCTTATTTAGAAATAGAGGGAATAGAATTTTCTTCTAAGGCTTTTAGTTTTTCTTTAAGATTTTTAATTTTTGCTTTGGATTCATTAATTTTGGGTGAAGAGTATTGTATATATCTTTTACTTTTCTTTACGTTAGAGAGAGAAAGAGCCAACGAGAAACAGGGCGGGGGTGATAGAGAGAGGGAGAGAGAGAAGTTGGTCACCATCTTTTGCCTATGGTGTGAGAGAGGAGAGAGGAGATTGCCCTTGCCCAAGAGAGAGAGAGGTGTAAACTGGCCTAATGTACTTGCCCAAGCCCAAGAAGAGAGAGAAAGGGCAGGAAAAACTGATGGGGCATGACAAGTATTGGTGGAAAATCGGGCGATCTAACTGCTAATCGTTCGGTTAGATCGGAACCAACCGCTGATCGGTTTCGATTTTCGGTAGTTTTGGTGATCGATTGGTATTTAATTTATTTTTAAAAAAATATATAAATTCTCAAAAATAAAGAATTTGGTTTGTAATGCATTATGTAATATCCTTTACAGGTTGCATTTTGGATACAGACACATCCGTAGGTCTAGAGGTAAAGTGCACCTTCAAATTTTAGCATGGTACATAATTTTGATGTAAAATGTTCTTAGGATTACCACTCTATAGACCGCAATATTGTTTTCTTTTGCTACTACCCCGAGTCAAAAGGGTATTGTTTGGACCAAAATACCCCCATTTGCCTCATGTTTATGCATTTATGCCACGTGTTTTTTATTTTTCTGCCATACCTAAAATGGGTACAGTTTGACACAAAAATTGTGTCGAACTGGTCCGACACATTGATTTTATAATATCAGTCTGACACAAACCATTGTCGGGCCAGCTTCTGCAGGACTGGTTTCAGTGTTTTCAGTTGGATAGGCACTATGAAAAAGTTGGTATAAGGGGGAGAGAGGAGTATTTGAGTTACAGTAGGAAGAGTTGGGGCGCAACATAACATGATATTAAACTAGGGGATTGTATATTATAAGACCATTAATTTTTGTTACAAGGAAGTCATGATTATTCTTAGCCATTAGATGTCAGATTAGATTGTTTAGGGTGCATTGCGAAATTCAAAAAATATTTTTTTGAATTTTAATACTCTCACAACCATGTGATTTGAAATTTGACGGATAAGAGTAATTGTAACCTCTTTATGTCAAAGATAAATGATCCCTTTCTATAATTTTCATTAGCTAGTGATAAACCCATCTTTGTCTCCATCCCTTAGTCCTTTGGTTGGATGGTGATGGCACCAATGACCATATATTTTCTATGATCATATGGAACATAATATACTATCAGTTCTAAGCATAGAAGCAAGCCCAACACACTTGAGGAATTAAACTCTCAAGCCAAAAAATATCCTACTCCCTCATATAAAAATCAAGGATTAATTTTAAGACCCTAAATTTAAGGGTAATTATCGTTAATGTATCTATATTTTAATAAAATAATAAAAAAAAGCTCCCAACTTTTCAAAACGTCGCCTACACCTTTTTTCTCAATTTTCAATTTTTTTTGGATGAATATACCCTTCACAGTAGTCTTTTTTACCATAAAAAACATTATTGTAATTTAAATACCGTATTTACTATAAAAAACATTACGGTAATTTAAATACCATAATGTGTAGAAAAGTTCTTACGGTAATTTATATACCGTAATTCTTATGATATTTTATACAATAATTTAAATATCGTAAAAAACATTATGGTACTTTAATTACTATAATATATAAATATATTCTTCATGCCATTCTTATTACCGTAATGGTTGAAAAGCTTCAAACCGAAGCTAATATTAGGGCTACCCCTCTCCTCCAGTTCTCTGTCTCTCTCTCTAAAACCTACCTTTCTTTATTCAATAATGAAAATGATATAGTTAGAAAACAAGCAATCCAGTAATTCCAAGGCCATATCGATCCTGCCTTTTATATACAATGCCTTTATCAACAGGTCATAAGTCTTTCTATTGGTAGGAATCTCCCTAGCAATCATCTCTTCCAAAACCAAAATAGAATGGCTCAAAAGTCCAACATTACAAAATAATTTGATCATGGTGTTGCAGGTGAGAGAGTCGAAATCAAGCCCAGATTGGGTCATCTCCAATATAGCCCCTGACGCATCTACCCATCTTTGAAGATCACAATAACTACCAAGCAAAATACAGTAACTATAAGAATCTACTTCAGGCTTGGCTTGTTATTGAGGAATTGGCTTGCTTTCTCAAACGTCTCCTCTTTGCACAACCTTTCAAAGATAAAATTATAAATAAAATGATAAGGGACATGACCTTCTGCTAACACCAAATGGAGAATATCCATAGCGTTATCAATGCCCCTCCCGTTGCAAGCCTTTCCAATCAAAATTTTATAAGTCAAAGCTCAGGACAAATGTTTTTATCCGATAATAGTTTTGAGAAACGTAGGTTTTAGAGAGAGAGACAAAGAAAGTTCACAGAGCGCAGGAGGAGAAATGTAGCTCTGATATTAACTTTGATTTGAAGCTTTTCAGAAGAGAAATGTAGCTCTGATATTAACTTTGATTTGAAGCGTTTCAAAGCATTACTGTAAGAATGATGTGAATAATATATTTATATATTACGGTAATTAAAGTACCGTATAAAATATCCTAAAAATTACCTTTCTACACATTATGGTATTTAAATTACCGTAATGGTTTTTACGGTAAAAAGACTATCATGAAGGGTATTTTCATCCAAAAAAACTGAAAATTGGGAAAAAAAAGTGTCGGCGAGGTTTTGAAAAGTTTAAGTTTTTTCCTATTTTATTAAAATATAGGTAGATTAGCGATAATTACCCTAAATTTAAAGGTATAACACATAATCTTTTGAAAAAAAAATGAAATAAGTTTAATAAAAGAATGAAATAAATTTTGAAAAAAATGAATCTTTTGAAATAAATTAGATTAACTTTAATAAAAATAGATTAACTTCAATCCTCTTTAACAAATAGATTAACTTTAATAAAAGAAATGAAATAAATTTCCTAATTACACTCTCTAAAAAGTCTCAGGATTGATATAGAGATGGTCCTAGAGGGTAAGTTATAAGCATTAGAAAACGTAAATTTGAAAATTCTTTTACAGATTTGGTAATTTTTAAAATTTTAGATCGCAAAACCCTCCCAAATATCTAAACCCAAGGTGTAGAACTATGCTCCCCTGGGAGCTAAGTACACGTGCCAAACTCAAATGCTTCTCTAACGGTCGGGACGTCCCAAATTTTCCGGAAAACATATAAATGCCGATTTTCTCACTAAAAAGCTTCTATGGCAATGAGCTTATCAGTTTTTTATCAGAGGGTTTTCTCTCTCTAAATTTTCAGTCACCACTTCACATGGCGATTCTTCAGAAATACTTCGTTCAAAAAAGTTAAACTCTGAGAAAAATGGTGTTAGTGCGAGGAGAATCCGGTTCATCTGAAACTAATGCAGGGTTCCGAAGGACCAGTAATGGAGGGCTTCAGAGGACCAGTCTTGAACCCACTGATCTGTGGCTGGTAAGAAATTCCTTTTTTTTTTTCTCACTCTTGACCCTCTAATGAAATGTTGACCCCTCTTTAATGAAATGTAGATCCCTGGTTTTTGGCATTTTTAGGGTTCTGTAATTTTCTTGGAATTTACTGATATTTGGACTAGAATTTGCAAGGTTTTGGGTTCTGGATATTCATAGGGTTTATTACACGGTGATTCATATGTTCTGTGATGTTTCTGTTGCTGAGCTTTACAAGAGATAGTCCTATGTTACGGTTCCATTATGGCGTCTTCTGGTTTTAGATTTTTCTCCTTTATAGTTATGTGGCTGTTCTTTCTTCTAAAAGAAATTATTTATGGTTTTGATTTTTCGTTTCTTTTTCTTTTGGAGGGGTTTTGTTTTTCAATGGAAACACTCAATTTGATGATGCATTTTAGTTGGTAGAAATCTAAATGTTCTTCAGAGGTAATTCTAGGGATTCCAGAGTTGCATTGTTGCATTTGTGTGTGAGTGTGTT